GCAATTGTTCCAAGATACCAGGAAGCAACATAAAAGCTCCTGGTACTACAGCCTGGAAAACTTCAAAATATTACTTTTGCTATATTCCATTCATCAAATAAATACTAAAGCCAAACCAGATTCCAAGGGAAAGAAGTTACACCTCTTGGTAGGGCACAGGCAAACCATGTTGAAAAAGTACATTTAGGCAGGATATAAGTTTGTAGAAATTTTTGGAAAATACAACTGCCATTATGGAATAGCCTACTGGAAGGTAGAGATGAACAGGGGTTAGATGAAAATGCCACTGAATTGGACATTTTCTACAAGGTGTTCTTTCACAGAGTTTTCAAATCCCATATATTCTCTGTAGCGTTTTCTAATCAATACACTAGAAGTCTCAGATACAAATCTGCTATGGTAGCAGCATGTAATCACATCCTGGCTTCCTAATTGACAAAAAAAGTCAAAAACTGAGAAAAAGTTTTTGCTGAAACATAGTCTTGCCTCTAAATAATATGTCCACAATCAAAATAAAAATGTCTTATTTCTTTTTTTACTTTTTGATAAATCATATTTTCAATATTAAATCAGCTTAAGAAATAATTCCAAAATTATTACTTTTATCAATAGACCACAAAACTGATGGTTTTACCGAAGATTTAAGGAAAATCAATTCCAAGCCATGAAATGTATAGACAGGAGTGAGCTCCTAGAAAGTTTCCTCTAGAAATCTTTCATATATTTTATTACTGTATCCACTTAAGAGCTTTTAGCTACTCTTGTTAGAATCTCAAAATGGCTTAACGTAAGCATAATGTAAAATTTTAAAAATTGAATTTCAAAGCATGAGAGATTCTCTAAGCAAGGTCATGAAGTTGATATTGGAACAAAGACTTTTGAAGGGAGAAGCTTCTTTTCTTTCTATAAAAGAAAAGAAGTATTTCCCAATAAAGTACCCAAGTTTTTAAACAATTGTGTATGCTTCATAATTAACTACTTCTGTTATTCAAAGACAGATAACTGCCTATTTATGCTCTCTCTGGGACTCAGAAAAGTTAAATGTTCAAGAAAAGTAAAAAATAAGATAGATATAGATATAGATGCCCACACCTATCCCTCTATGTACACACACATACATATGCATGTACATTAGAGAATCATTCTTAACAATATATCCAACTGAGAGATGACTCCTAAACAAGTCCTGTGAGTCAGAACTGCTCAGCTAAAATTCAGCCATAATAAGGTATGATTGAAATATACAATGAATATTTACATTTTTAAAAACTGCAGTAAAAGACACATTACCATAGCCTCTCAGAATATTCCCCCTTGCTTTGAACACACTCATCCCCTCATTCTCGCCACACTCTGAATCAGTTCTGGAAGTCCTCTTTCGCAATGCCTTTGATGCGGGGAGATCAACACGGTGAACGCTGCTGACAGGTGCCATCCAAAGGGAAGGAGGGCTCATAAACACATGCTGCTGTGTCCTCACCCAGCTGACTCACCACACCTAGTACCAGTGTCCCTTCCAGCGCTTCCCCAAAGTCAGCATGACCATGGAAGGTCAATGTTTTCAATCCATTCAGGATGTTCAGGCAGCCACACAGCAAAACTAAACACTCGTAGGAGCAGACTTTCAGATCTGCTCCCGAAAGTGGTAAGCGGCATGAGATGAGGGTGTCTGACGTGACCGGGAGCATTTTGGAGAGGATCAACGGCCATTTGTCTGTTACTATAATAACTATTCTTTAAAGTACAAACATTCAATGTATTTTTCAGCCATACCATGTAGCCTCTCTGGTATCATGACTTCAGTTGCTATTGTATTGTTCTCTGAGAGTTTCAAGTGAAAAACATCGATGTTGAAAAAGAATCTGCATGCCTGCAATCCCAACACTTGGGAGGCTGAGGCAAGAGGATCACCATGAGCTTGAGGACAGCGTGGGCTACAGAGGGAGGCCTTGTCTCAAGAAAAAAGAAAAAGTGTCAAAAGATATAAGCGATGTATCTGGAAAACTAAATATTGCACAATAGTTTACCATGCACTTCGAGAAAGGAAACTGCGCTACTGTGTTGTTTGTACTTCAAGCCATACTCTACCCATAAGTAAATTAGCATGGTCCCATTTCAAACAGGTCGTCCTTTATGAAATAACTGACCTTTGGCCATTGATGATTTGCATCTTATTAGTGTTTTTTTCTTCCTCTCTTTGTACAGACAGTGAATGTTCTATTTTTAAAGATATTCATTCATTCCCTGACACCCAGCTGGCTGGGATCTGTGGAGATACAGCGTGAGTAGAGTATGCGTGGCCTCCGGCCTCCTCAGGGTTACATTCCAGCCCAACAAACAGGATATGATAATGCACTGGGAAAAACTACTGTGGTTAGGGAAATAGAGAGGGCGGTGAAAGCTGGAGATAGACCAGTTACCCTGACTCAGACAGGCCGGGGCTGGAGCATGGAGCGCTGGTGTTCTGGAAGAGGCAAGTTACCCTGCAGGACGCATGAGATTTAATAAGCGGAAAGGAGTCACAGCCACATTCCAGGGAGAGGGAAAGACACTGCAAGCACCCAGAGGACAGGGGGAACAAAATAAAGTTCTAACAGAGTTAAGTCTGGCTACTCTGCAGGAGAGGAGCAGGAAGGACGGGTGGGGGTGAACGTAGCTCCCAGCGTTTTACTTCTCTGACGTTTTCCCGTGAGTCATGAAGCATAACCCACGGGCTTACACGAGAAATGGTATGATGAGATTTCCTCACATTTCAGAGTATCACCTGGGTCACAGAGTGGAGAAGAGACTGGAAGGTTAAGAAAGAGGCAGGAAAACCATCCCGTCTCCAGGTCACGCGCACTGTCCCATCGAAGTGTTGAGGAAATGGGGAAAAAGTGGGAGAATTCTCAAAAGTCAGGAAACATCAATGATTTGGTGATTGCTTAGAAATAGACAGAGAAGAAGAAACATGAGCCTTTACACGTTTGAAAAATGAGGCCCAATTCGTGTCACTCTTTACTGAAGGCTGAAGTTCACCATAAAGAACGTTTTGTCAAAGTATGTGACACAAATGTCACTTTCAGTATGTGACCTAGGGTCTCAAGACAATTTATGAAAATCAACTCTTTAATTTTACAGTAGTTACATAGAAAAAAGTTTGCTTAATTTCTACTACTCGGTCTAATCATGACAGAATAGCTACTTTTAAGAAAAGTAGTATTTCAGCATACTCAATTTACCATTAAGAGAGACAATTTCAAAACCATAAAAAATAAACAAGGGGGGCTGGGGATTTAGCTCAGCAGCACAGCGCTTGCCCGGCAAGCTCAAGGTCGTGAGTTCGATCCCTGGTACCGGAAAAAAACAAAAACAAAAAATAAACAAGGAACATATCAAAAGTGGATAATATTCGTGAACATGTTACAGTATTCCAAAATCTAGTTTCTTCATTGTTCACATTGATACACGTGAGGAAACATAAGATTGTATGTAGTTTAAAAATATGTTAACCCCATTTTAATATTTATGAGCCCTTTCATCTGCTCTTTGCGCACTGCCTGTGAAGCCTGGGCAACTTTCCGGGCATCTCGTCTCGAATGCTGAGTAGTCACGTGTGGCTGGCAGCACCAGGAGGCAGAGACGTGCACTCCCAGTGCCAGGTGACACGACAGGGTGAGCAGGCAGTCACGATGCGTGGGCAGAGGGGAGGAAGAGAGCAGTAAAACCTCTGAGCCTGTCTTGCTGCTCAGCCACGGCCATGGACAGAGAACGTTAGTTAAGACAGCAAATGAAAGCTGACCTATTACGGATGAAGTGACACCGCCCAACACAATATTAAAAAATAAAATACGAATTGAAAAACCTAAACTCCCCAAATAGTTTTAAGCACCAAGCTTCAGTCCACTTGAAACAACCCATTTAAATTCCACCTGTTCAATTTTAATTCAAAGCTCTGCTACCAGCTACTTCGTTGACAGTGGCAGCTCCTGTCCCTGACACCAGTCATTTAGCAACTGCGAGGCAGGACATCGCACACCAGTTTCCATCTGAATTTAGCACTGTTTTAAGTTTATAAGAAAAATGTCCCTATGTAAACAACAGACATTTTGATTAAACACTAAAGTTCTTATTTTGGCTGTTAAATCAATAATGCAGCTGGCCCAAAAGTGGTTTACATTCCCTCCGAACTGGGCTCCTGTCCAGCTGGTCCTGCACTGACATCATTTTCCAGCAAGATCTGGCTGCTCTCAGCGGACAGTGGAGAAGTATTCTCTGAAAACAGCTACATAATTTTCAAAGTGAGCACATTTCAGCAAGAGGGTCTCACAAATGCCTGTACTTAAGGTAGTACAGTCCGTCTAGCCATAATCTCTTGTTTAATGGGTAATTTACTAGCGAAACTTATTTAGGCAGTTTTTACTAAGCTGTGAGACAAGGGCCTTTGGTGCCAGTATCTCTTTCACCTGAAGCTGACGCCGGAAGGTTTCCTATTCTTCTTCCTCTAACAGACTCATCAATATGTAACTCTCCAGCGATGGTGTTCAATGTATTACGTGTGCATGGTGAATGCCTGTGCCCCAGTGCTTTGTCCCGGTTGACAGACTCCAGGTGAGAATTCATGAATACTGACATACTGTTTAAGTATACGCTACACATTCAGGATGTTTTAAAATAGAAAACAAAACCATATTATATGACTAAAACACAAAACAATCATGGTCCTTAAAAAGTCGAACAGATCAAAATAGAGCTTGTGAAGTCACTAAGAGAATACTGATTTACAATTAGCACATTCAGTTTCAGCAACTAGAAATAAAGAAAAATACAAAGCAAAAGTCCTAAAGTATATTCAAGTTCAGCTAACAAATATGATTCTCAGTTACTCAGAAAAAGGTCATTACGATTCTATTTTAGCAGCAAAATACTGTAGTCCAGCTGGAATACTGGGCAAACGTATCCCAGGACCTGTATTTAAGAACCATTCAGAACTTTTTATTCCAGGAGCTCAAATTACTCACCTGGAGAAATTCTCTGACGTTAGATCCCAGGACACGTAAGATGGTGTCATAACCAGATTCTTGACAAAACACAAAAAACATCTTCCCAAACATTTGAAGGATTTCTCCAGCATTGAGGTCTGTTTCATAGGTTTGAGAAGAAATAACAACCACGTATTATAGGTGGAATGTTGTTAATGAGAAGAATGAAATGATTTAAAATGCCCACAACCTCTGGGTGGAATGGACATAAATCTAAGACAGAAGAATTCTGGTCAGAACACTACAAGAAATCCGAGAAAACAACGTATTAACAAGTTGACAGTGTAAATTTGTACTTGCGAGCAAAGCTACCATATTCTCGGCTTATATAAGAACTATTTAATCTTGACGTTTTTGTAGCATATAGTGTGTTTATTCAAAAAATGGAGATTTTTAAGCCATTGAGAATGCACATGACATTATTTTGATGCAAAATAGTTTTCCTTCCTATAAATAGGCACATTTACGAACCTGACTGTATAAGGTATGGAACTGACTATCCTGTTCTTTTAATATCCAAATTCATATTTCCTAAAATTTCATTTCCCCCATAATTTTTCTTTGTCAGCTTTGTTATCTTACTCAACAATGGATGTAGCAATTTCTTCACCCTCATCTTACTGGAAATGCGTTGATAAGTGACTAACACAGAAACACACATAAATCTTAGGGCAAAGGCCATCTACTGCTTCTTCAGGAAGCACTCAAACTCCTTAACAGTTTGAATACATCTCTAAACGATTCTGATGTGGTCAAACTGCCCTCAGAAAGAAGTCATCTTACTTCATCATCAGGCTAAAAGTACATACCACATCTCCTTTACATGTGACTATTCTAGATACTTCATCTTAAACATCTTAGAAATTCACATTTTAAAAGCATATTTCATATTTGCTTCCATTTCATTATTAATGAAACTTTATACTTTATTGTTTACCAATTTTTTTTTTACTAATTCTTACACTCTGCCAAGCAAAGCTAAAAGCTTCCTTCTGTCCCACGCAAACTGTACTCTCAGTGCAAATTAAATTCTTTGGGAATAACAGGTAATATTTGAGAACAACTTTTCTCCATGACAGGACCTTTTCTAACAGCGAGATCTGTCTGTGGAAGGTCTCAGAGTCTTCTTCCTCTTGCCAATAGCTAACATAACATGATTATAAAAGAGATTTCAGAGTAATGGTCTCTCCATATTGCACCTGTACCACTTCTACTTTGTTGATACTACAGCTGGAGCGATCACACTGAGAATCAACGTTTGCTTCCCTCCCGAATATGTGGTTTTCTGTGAGCAGAGACAGCCTGCTTTCTTTCCATTCTCTAAGTACTTTGTAAAAGGAAGAACAGGACTTAGCTAGGCCTGAGCCTAACATTACATGGACAACCCCCCCACCACACACACATGCGGGTTTGTGCAGTATACAGCTTGTGTAACCACATGTTGCAGTCCTGAAACAGACATTCCTTTGGGCTTCCACACATAACTAAGACAAAGAAGGAAAGCTGTGTCTGACTTACTGAGAACCTTGCTTGCAGCAGCAACCAAATCGTAAGTTTTGGAATCATCGTATATTATTCGGACCAGAAACTGTCCTTCTTCATCTAACTGGGCCTCTTTTCTGGAAAACAGGAGAGACAGTGAGGACATGAAAGAGCAGCTACTGCAGGTGTGACGATTCCATACACAATGCATTTACTTCTGGAACGGGATTTTTTGGTGAACCTGTTTAAATCAGTATTATGTACTTAAAAGGCTAGTGACAAGCCGAAATGATGTCATATCCTTCTCCCTGAATTAAAATGACACACTTAACTCATTGTAATACATCTGACCTTTATATAGTATGTCAATGCCCAACACAACACCCAAAATTAAATACAGTCAAGAAATAACCTTCTTTACAAAGCTGGGTGTGACAGCACACCCATAGTCCCAACTACTTGGGAGGTTGAGGCAGGAAGATTGGTCAAACCCAGGTGTTCAAGGCCCGCCTGGAGAACATAGCAAGGTCTTACCTGCTAAAAAAGAAGTAATTTTTTTTTAATTGTAAAAATAAAAGGAGGAAAACATTAATAGACAGACAACCTTTTACAAAATAGCAAAAGAACAGTATAGACAATACAGAGTTACAAACAAAGTGGTAGGAAATTAACAATGCTTGTTATATTACATACTGATAAGTCCTTCTACTGAGGATTGGATAAGAAAATCGTGGTACTTTTATATAATGGAATATTACTCAGCTATAAAGAAAGATAAACTTGAGGCCTTTATAGGTAAATGGTCATAGCTGGAGACTATACTCATAAGTGAAATAAATCAGACCTGAATGTACAAGCACCGCACTGTTTCACTAGTGTAAAACCTGAAAGAGTTAATTTTAACTTGGAGATATGATAAACATCGTGAAATGATAGGAAAACACTCAAAGGTAAAGGGCAACTGGGATGTGGAAAAGAGAAGGGAAAGAAGAAGAAATTTTGTATATGTATATACAGGATAGTTAACATAGTTGTTCTACTGTCTTCTATTTCTTTGCTGAAAGAAACTGTCAGTGAGTCCTTGATTGATCAATATTGCATGTCTCTATCTGTTTTCAAGAAGTAATTTTTGGCTTAATAAATATTCAGCAAATATTTGTTGAGTCCCTGTCTGTGCCAAGCATTGCTCTGGGGATGCAATCTTTAGTAAACCAGACAAAGTCCCTGATCGCTTAGGATACATATGCGTACTCTAGGAGGGGTGGGGGAGACCAGGTCTAAGACTAACAAATCACTTGTACAATAAACATAAAGAGAAAAATGAGGCAAGGTAGAGGGGCAGATGTTCGAGTGCAGTAGGGAGGAGGCTGCTCGGGGCGGCTGGCACGTAGGTGAGGATGAAGGGCCAGGCGCCATATGGACAGAGGTCGGAGCAGCTCCACAGGCCAGGCAGGAGCATCCTGGGTGCTGGGGGAACCGCAGAGGGCAACGTGTCTGGGGCAGACAAGGGGGGAAAGAGGCTGTAGGGAACAGATCGGGAGGTCACAAGAAGCCGCAGTCCTTGAGATTGCTTGGATACTGGGACAACTGGTCTGAATGGAAAGAGGTGAAGGATCCGGGTTCCAGTGGTGTGAGGGGTGACGGGAACCAACCTAGGTTAAGGGATCTGCCTGGCTTCTGCAGTGAGGATGGACCACAGCGGTGCAGGACATGGTGAGGGAGCTCTGCCACCCGTCAGGTGACACATGCTCCAACCTGCTTCAGAGCACTGGTTCACACCCTTGTGCGAAAGTCCACATGACATGCTGAGGGAGGCAGAGACTCAGCAGGGCGAGAGGCTTCAGTCTGAGCAGGTGGAAGGATGCTGTCACCAGGAACTGATTGCAGTAAGACTCTTTGATGGGAGCTGGGGCTCAGATCAAGAGTTGTGTTTTACACACAGCATGAGTGGCCAGGTGGACTGATGAAATCTCCAAATACATCCTTCACTGAATAAACACAATAGCTCAAAATGTATCCAACATTAGTAAGAAGAAAGTACAGTTATCATTTTTAAAAGTCATCACGCTTCTATAAATACATTTATTTTGGTAGGATTGAGATTACTTTCCTTAAACAAATGTCCAAAGGGGAGGGGAAGCCATTGTTTAAAAACACTGCCAGGTGGATCCAGGAGCTGATGAATTTCCAGATATCTTTTCCAGTGTTACATTCACAAAAGTATGTCCAGCTGGAATATCAACTGCTGACTCTCACCCTAACTCATCCAAGCGACTGTGCGCCGCCAGGAGGGACCCTGAGCACTGTGTTAGGTGAGTGTCAGGCTGGCTACAGTCACTTGCAGTCACTGCTGCTGCTCAAGGAGAATATTCCCAATGGTAGCATGTCTTATGTCACCACATCAGTGTGGAGCTATTCCTAAAGACACACTGTTCTTCAGGGCATGTCACTTACGTTTACTTGCTGCAGTAATGCACAGCAGGGCACATTTTTAAAAGCCATGGGCGGGGTGCAACTCTATGAGAGAGCACTTCCCTAGCATGCCTAAAGCCAGGTCGGAAGCCCCAGCACTGCAACACAGCAGCAGCAACATCAACAGCAGCAGCAACAGCAACAACAACACGTGGTTTTGGTAGCCATGGGGGTCTGAGCTTCAGAATTCAGAATTTACCAGCTGGATGAACTTGGGAAAACCGCATATATCAAATAAACACTAAAACTTCTCCTTCCTAAAAATAAAAATCAATAATATACTAATAGTAAGCAACTTATTTTAACTTATTTCCCACAGTTACAAGGAAAGAATGTATCCAAATTATGTTTGAAACAGTTAAAGCTACACTGGGATTGCATGCTCAAAGATGTTTTCTTCCCTTTTCCCAAACATGCATAGCTCTTAAGCAATAACATCACAGCTTTTCAAAGATCTCAAGGTTTTTGTTTTAATAGAAAATGTGAAATATCAAAAAAAAGAACCTAAAATGTACAAACCCTAAATTATCCTGTGATAAATGCTACTATATATTTTATGCATTCTAATTTCTAATTGTAAAGATACATAAAAGTGCTGAAAAGGAAAAACTAAAAAGTAATACTCCCGCATAATGAGATAACCATTGGTAATATTATATTTAAACTGCACCTGCTTCAGTATACTGATTTATATAACATACTACTTTAAAATCTGTTTTGATTTAGTATTTGATGGTTATCTTTTCATGTCAATAAATGAATTCTACAGCATAACTGCATAAAATTGCTTTGTATGGATATCTGAAGTCTTGGTAGAGAGAGTGAGGTTTCTTTTACTTTTTACGTAAGTATGAAGGATGCTCTGATGAATAACTGAAAACACCAAATGAATTTCTAGGAATGAACTTGCTGGTTTAAAGGATACAGATATCCTTATTTTTGTTGTTTTTCCACTTAAATTTTACTATAAGACAACACTAGTCAGCAGATTGGAATTTGCTGCCTGTGGTTTAAGATACACTAGTAAAATATAAATGTTAATTTATATATGTAAACTATAAATGTTAATGAAATGTAAATTAATTCATGTGTTCACCATGCTTTTTTCTGTTTCTTCCATCCTGAATAAACAAAATCACATAAGTTTTTCTAGCAAACTGAGTTTCTGCAAAAAGTACGTCAATCCACAACAATACCTAAATGACAGCAATGAAGGCAGAGTACAGTCTGCATTAACTGGGGGAACAGCCGCTTCCTAGGAAATCCCCGAACAAGGAGCCAAGGCGCACTCTCTCTCTCTCTCTCTCTCTCTCTCTCCTTGCTGTTTATTAAAATAACCTCCCTTATCTTCTTTGAACTCTCCTTCCTGCAATGATCCTCTTCAACTTGCTCCCCGGAAAAGCCTGAAAGACTAGACAGTCGTACACAGCAGAACGCTCCTTAAAGCCTTGCACACTGAACCCCACTACAGCATTAAAGCTGTGCTGTGTGAGTGCACGGGCTCTCTGCAGCGAAAGCAGTCACGTACTGCAAGTGCGTACTAGTAACGTTTTGCTCATTAAAACACTCTTTACGACTATTTTAGAAATCTTTGGAAATACAGAGTTGCTCTTTTCTTTTGTTTTTATTTCTACAGAAATTTTACCACAAATATTTCAATGCCCATTATACTCCCTGCCCTTTTATAAACACATTGAACGTCTCAGTGAGTGAAACAGATAAAGTAATAAATACATATCCAAATTTCATAATGGGGATGAAGTGATGAACTCTGAAAAGCCAGGAACAGGCGGGAGCCCAGGTGGGGGAGGAGGGGTGGGGCCAATGGACACCCGGCCGCAGCGGGCTCCGTGGGGTACGAAGGTCTGCGCAGAGACTTTCAGGACAGGCATCTGGCTCCATTCACCTCAGCTTCCTAGGACCCACTCCCTTCTTTCTGCAGCCCTTTCTTCACCTGCTTCTCTTCTGAAAGGAAAAGCTGGCTGGAGATAGGAGAACTCCTTAGGTATAGAATGAATCAGTACACTAAACTGAGCAGGAAAATATACAGTGCAAAGTGAGTCAGAACCGAAAGAACTGATGCCAGCTGGTGTGGCCACAGAATCTGGGAGAAAAATTTGAGGCATGAGGCTTTCTCCTTGGTGTCTCAGTGCTGAACACTGCTCCTTCTAACTGCTCTGCAGATTTGTATTTAACCAGACTTCATGCTGCCGGTGCCCCAGCCCCTCCGAGCCCTGAGACGACAGGAACCATCCCTTCTTACCTTTGCCTTAAACCCAAAGAATATAGCATTTATATAATATATACACAGTTATATATAAGATAATAACTGAAGATTTATTTTCTTGACATGTAGTTTTCTTTTAAGTTTCAGTTATCCAAATTCAACCACATACATTAATCAAATTTTCTAGGCTCACTTGTTCTTTCAAAATTATATTTTGATTTATTTCACTTATGAGTATGGTCTCTAGTTGTGACCATTTACCTATA